AAAAAAAAAGACAGCGTGTCTGAGCCAGGCGCGGTGGCTCACACCTATAATCCCAGCACTTTGGGAGGCTGAGGTGAGAGGATTGCCGGAGCTCACGAATTCGAGAGCAGCCTGGGCAATTTGGTGAGACCTCGCCTCTACAATAAATAAAAAAATTAGCAGGGCATAGTGGCTCATGCCTGTAGTTCCAGCTCCTTGGAAGGCTGAGGCGGAAGGATCGCCAGAGCCCAGCAGGTCGAGGTTGCGGTGGCCGTGAGCGCACCACTGCCCTCCAGCCTAGGCAATAGAGTAAGATTCCAACTCAAAAAAAAAAAAAAAAAAAAAAAAAAGACAGCATGCCTGACCCTGCTGTGAAAGCACTTTACAAACCTTAGCGTGCTGTGGTCCCACTGGGGTTCACAAGCTGTTGTTAGTACAGAAGTGCGCATTTACTTCCTCCATGCCAAACACTGACCTCCTTGTGACATTCCTGCAGGACAGGTGCAACTACTGATCCCATTTGACAGATGAGGACACTGAGGCATAAGGGTGAAGTCAGTCAGCAGGGTGTGGGGGACTGAGCCTTAAACCCCACACGCTTCCCTGCCAGCTTGTTTCCTGCCTCTGAGCCGCCCCCTGTGCTGTGGGCTGAGGCGTGTGCCCTCGGCTGCTATTTTCTGTGTGGCCACCCAGCCTCCCTAGCCAGACAGGAGTCTGCCGCCCGGCTGGGCTCAGTCTGTAGCGGGTGTTGAGAGTGATGGACTTCCAAGGGACCCAGGGTGTCATCTTCCCTTCCTCTCAGGAAGTACATCGTGTCCTGTAAGCAGACGGAGATGCCCCTCTCTGTCCCCTGGGACCCTAGCAACCAGGTAAGGCCCTCTGTCCTCAGGGTACAGTCCTCAGGCCCGCGGGGGCCCCTGCCCTCCCCTGCGTGTCAGCGTAGGTTGGAGGAAGGCCTGAGGGCGCAGGATACGGATGCCAGCCCTCAAGATCGCTACAACCGGGCCGGGTGCGGTGGTTCACGCTTGTCATCCCAACATTTTGGGAGGCCGTGACAGGAGGATTGCCTGAGCCCAGGAGTTTGAGACCAGCCTAGACAAATAGTGAGACCTCATTTCTACACAAAAGCAAAAAAAAATTAGCCAAATGCCTGTAGTCCCAGCTACTCAGGAGGTCCAGGCCGCAGTAAGTCATGATTGTGCCACAGCACTCCAGAGTGAGATTGTGACTCAAAAAAAAAAAAAAAAGATCAACACAAAAAACCCCACATTCGCTATAGTTAGCAAAGGGCTTCCTGTGTCTCACCTGGCGGGAGGGAGGTGAGACCCTGCGAGGCAGAGCGACTTGCCAGGGTCATCCCTGAGCCTGGACATTCTAGCCCTGAGCCTGGACATTCTTTCCCGGAGTCCAGGGCTCCTTCTGCAGACCCACCTGCATCATGGCCCAGGCTCCCCCATATACCCCTGGCCTTGCAAGGCACGGGGTCCCCCTGGAAGGGGGTGGGTGGTGGGAGCATCTGTGTGCTCTTCCAGGTGTACCTGAGCTACAACAACGTCTCCTCCCTGAGGATGCTCGTGGCCAAGGACAACTGGGTGCTGTCCTCAGAGATCAGTCAGGTAGCCGACCCCCACCCCATCTTTTCTTGCTCCCCAGAGCGGCCGGACGTGCCCAGTGGCGAGCAACGGGAACTCTCACACCACTCCTGTCAGTAGGGGATTTCTTCCAAGGAATAGGCGAGGTCAGGAAACCAACCATTTATGGAAACACACCCGCCCCGGCAGGGCCTGGAGTGTGGACTCCGAAGTCCCTCTCTCCTGCCCACCCCCACCCTCTGTGATGCCCGCTCTCTGCCCAGTCCCTCCTCCCTCCCTCTCTGCTCTTCTGCATCGACTCACCGAGGGGTGGGGTGGTGGCATGCATGCGCTGGGGAGACCAGCTCTGCCCCTGCTTGTGACTTGGACAAGTTGCTGTCCACCTTCGATGCCGGGGGACTGGATGGGTGCCTGTCCCTGAGGACCCCCGCATGTGTGCCTCAGTCACTGCTTCTTAGGGCACCTTCCTGTCCTCTTAGGATGGATTTTCTCAACAGCCCATCTTCACAGGGAGGCGACTGTGGCTCAGGCAGGCTGAGCCGCTTGTTCACAGTCACATAGCAAGTCAGTGACAGCCCTGAACTTCCAGCCTGGGCTCCAGCATCCCCGTGAACTCCCCTCCACCACCCAGCATTGTTGGGGGGGGCACAGGAATAAGCCACCCCTTTCCCCCGCAGGTCCGCCTATATACTCTGGAGGAGGACAAGTTCCTCTCCTTCCACATGGAGATGGTGGTGAACGTGGATGCAGCCCAGGCCTTCTTGTTGCTCTCGGACCTGAGACGCAGGCCAGAGTGGGACAAGCACTGCCGGTGAGGGGCGGGGCAGAGCGGGATGAGGGTGGGGCCTGGAGGGGAGGGTGTCTCCCCCTTATGTTCTGCACCCACTGTCTGTTTTTTTTGTTGTTGTTGTTGTGAGTCAGAGTCTCACTCTGTCACCCAGGCTGGAGTGCAGTGGCATGCTCACGGCCACTGCAGCCTTGACCTCCTGGGCTCAGGCAATCCTTCCGTCTCTGCCTTCTAAGTAGCTGGAACTACAGGCAGGCACCACTACACCCAGCTAAGTTTTTGATAGAGATGAGATCTCACCAAGATGCCCAGGCAGGTCTTGAACCCGCAGGTTCAGGCAGTCCTCTCGCTTCGGCCTCCCAAAGTGCTGGGACTACAGGCTTGAGCCACCACGCCTGGTCCCCACTGTCTGTTACCAGGAGGTAGAAGTGGTGGTGGGCTGTAGTTCCTTGATAGGTGGAGGTCAGGGTCATGGGTATTTTGAGCCCTCAAGGCAGGGACTGAACCTGGAATTGGAGTTGGAAGCCTGTGTGTAGATTCTGTTTTTGTCCCAACTTGCTGTTTGACACTGGGCAAGTCATATTTATTCTGGGCCTGTTTCCCTCATCTGTTTAAAATTTTTTTTTTTTTTTTTGAGTTGGGGGTCTCACGCAGTTCTCCTGGAGTGCTGTGGCACCATCACAACTCACCACAGCCTCCACTTCTTGGACTTAGACAATCCTTCTGCCTCAGCCTCTAGAGTAGCGCCACTACACCGGCTAATTTTTTAATTTTATTTTTTTAGAGACAAAACATCTCACTATGTTGCCCAGGCTGGTCTTGAACCCCTGGGCTCAAGTGATTCTCCTGCCTTGGCCTCCTAAAGTGCAGGGATTACAAGCGTGAGCCACCACACTGGTCTTCACACTCCTCTTTAAAATGGGTACTTAGCCGGGCTCGGTGGCTCAGCCTGTAGTCCCGCGCCTTTGGGAGGCTGAGGTGAGTG